AATTGGGCTGAAAACGTTTGAAATTAAAGTAATAATAAGCTCAGCAAGAGTTTGGTGTTTTGTTTATATTTGTAAAGATACGGCTGAGGAAGTGAGAATATATGGCAATATGTTTTTAAATTACAATATTTCATACTAAATATAAAATTGAAACGTTCTGCAAAAAGGTATAATAAGAATATCACTTCTATAAACAGACTGTCATATAATAAATTTTAAATTTTTAACATATGGTCCAACAGTTACAATCTGTACATAAATGATTAATGCCTTATACAAAAGAAATTTCGTAAGTATTCTCTTATTGTTGAATTAAATACAGTATTTAATATGAACAAATATGATGATGATTTCATTCAAATTAGGGAACATTTCTTTAAATATTACATTTTATGTTCTCCATACTCTGAATATTCTTTTGTGACTAACTCTTAAATTCTGCTTCTATAGGCATCCAGTACAGAGTATTTATCTGTTACGAATTACCATGCAAGACATCTTATTCTTGTATTCTCATATTCTTATTAGATTGCTTTGAGGAAGCAGTTGTTATGAATTTTAACATTTTGTATTAATCAACTACCAGTGGCTGAAACTATAAAACTGCCAAACATCAGTCGCAGGTTTATACCTCACCAATGGGATGGCCATGTGAAGTTTTCCAGAATTTCTTCACATGTGCAACATTAAATAGGAAGCATTTTCCAGAGAAAGTACTGGGAGTCACTTCATGCCAAAATGTTGCATTGCTTTATATCATCAATCCAATTGTGTCTTAAATGAAAATTTAAAAACTTAAATAATAAATTTATTCTTTATATAGTTAACAGAAAAAAAAAATTGCTTTATTATTTATAGTATTATGAGATACAGTTAAACATTCTAATTTATTATAGGAAAAATGATGGTGCAGTTGTCTGAATTTGTAACACAACTAGAAAACTGGAAAAATGGAAAAGCGATGATACTTTATAGCCAAGGAAATACTTTCTGTTCCGGAGCAGATTTAACAACAGTTAAAAATATTACGGATCCAGAAGGAGCGGCACGCATGTCACATTTAATGCATAACACATTGTACAGACTATCCACGCTTCCATTAATAACCGTCGCTTTAATACAAGGCAAAGCATTAGGAGGTGGAGCGGAGTTATCTTTAGCTTGTGATTTTCGCCTGTTAGCTCCTAGTGCAAGCATACAATTTGTCCAGTTAAAAATGGGAACGATAACCGGTTTCGGAGGTGCAACGCGGCTGGTCGGCTTACTGGGACAAACCGCGGCATTAAAAGTGCTGCTGTCTTCCCAAAAATTAGATGCAGCCGAAGCTTTGAAGTTTAAGCTGGCGGACGAAGTATTAAGTGAAAATGAAGATCTGTTAGAGCAGACTAAACGTTGGTTAGATCCATACTTGCACGGTGCATCCGAAGTTATTCGGGCCATGAAAAAAGCCGTGGCCCATGCGGCTTGGAGTAATTCCGAAGATTCCTTTTCAAATGAAAGGAGGTTATTTTCAACGGTTTGGGGTGGTCCAGCAAATCTCGAAGCTCTGAAAAAGAATATTAAACATTGATAAATATGTAATTAATTTTAAATTGTAAACAAAAAAAATGTAATACTGTATGAACATTGCAAATTTCAGTTAGAAAATATAAATCATTTGCTAAAAATTGTCTAGGTAATTTCTATAATCTATTATGATAAATTAATTACTGTGCGAATTTATAACAACCAAAAAAATGGCGTATAATTGTTTTTGTCGCAGGCTGCCGCGTCAATCGCTAGGCCATCAAATGTAATACACAGCATGAATAATTAGTTGTAAGAAGTAAATAAGCGTTATCGTGACAAAGCAAAATACTGAAAATTTTTAAATAAATCATACGTTACTGCATTCTTTTCGTGTTTAAAATTTTTGTGCGTGTTAGTAAGAATTTTGTAATTTGATATTGGCTTTGCAGACGTACAGTATTTAATATTTTTATCTGTATTTTGTTTCATTTTCGTGTTTAAACATTCATTTCAAAATACGTTAATATTCGGTATTATTTTTTTATAATCAATACAACAACGTTTTCTCTCTCATTAACAGTTGAGACACACAAATTGCTCAACATATTTTATTAATTTATGATTGTAACCAGGAACGGGGTACATGCCCCTTTTTCTAAACCCAATGAGGGCCCCCAGAAGAGAATTCATACCTATTCTGTAAATATAAAAGAAACCCGTGCAACTATTTTTATGTAGCTATTTGTTCGTCTTGAGTCGACCAAAACCATATTCCTTATTTTCGAGGCCACCTCCGAGTGCGACCATCACCATTTTGTGGGAAACGCTGATCCGGTGTTGAATGATAGAAGCTTCTTGCATAGTGTAAGATGCCCGTTTTATAATCTATGGCGCCGATGGTTGTAAAAATAGCAACCTTCACTCTCGCTGTTTTGTAGTATTCAATATGGCGGCACTCAGTTTACCAGTCCATATTTTTTCCTATTGTCATTTTTATTTGTATGTCTGATAAAGATAAATTATCTTCAATCTGTAATAATGTATTTTACATGGATTAACTTACTAATTAAATAAAAGTATGACTTTTACGTTGTTTAATTCGAATTAAAGGTGAAAAACTGCTGTAGCAATTGACCAACAGCAGTGTCGGAATGACCGAGCGGTTGGGATGGCCGGCTACTGCACTGGTGGACCCGGAATTAAATCCGGACAGATCGAAAACACAAAAAGTTTTCGAGGGTGCCCCGTCCGGATATGTCGGGCCCGTCCTCACCTTCCGACAGTCCCATTATGAACTTGGCAGAACCCATAATAGACTTACTAAAAAATGACCGTCTTAATGTCCTCAGGGTGGAAAAAGTTAAAGAAAAAAGACGCATTGCGAGTTGCGTTATTAAATTTGTTTCTAATAAACCGCGCACTCCGACTTTTTAAAAAAGAATTGCGCAAATTATTCGAATAAATATAATACTTAATACAGAATTTTTTGAAGTACTGTATAAACGTTTTAAAAGTAAATTTTAGTTACAATTTATGCAAATACGTGGCGCTGTTTAGACCTATCATCACAAGTAATTGATGTACAGAAGAAGTGTATTGCAAAAGGGACTTTTTATGCTTATCAGAATTTTCAATTGAATACAGAACTATAGCTCTGTATTCAATAAATTAAGTCTTAAATCCGACCTAATTTATTGAATACAATCTCGCATATAGCGTCTAGCGTGTAGAAAAATAACGTCAAATTGACGTCATTTTTCTACACGCAAGAACCAGCCTTATAAACCCGTTCCCTAGTGGCTGAAATTGTACTCAAAATTAGCGTAAAATATAATCATCGTTACTGAAGTACCGGTAAAACCAATGAATTTTTGTAATTAAGAGTGACTAATTTCTATTAAAAGTGAGTAATTTCTATGATCGGTTCTTCACCTTAATTATAAAAGTACCGAACATCGCGTATTGAAATATTTACAGACGGTATTAGTGAATTTTCGGTAACAGTGATAGTGAAATATCGCTAATCACTAATTACACTCACTCCTTTTCAGCTGTGCAAGAGAAACTGAGCTTTGCTTTCCCATGTAAACGTTTATTTTCTAAAGCTGGGTATAATAGGGAACATAAAATAGGTTCAATAAAAGCCAAGATAATGCTCTTTCCAATTGCTAATATTTGTTGAGTATAAATATTTAAGTGGCTAATATAAAAATAAAACTGTTTATGTCGCGCTCCACAAAATATACACATGGTAAAAACAAAGCAGAAACGTGTGATTGGTTCACATAAGATAGAACAATGCGATTGGTCAAAATAAACCATGACTACAATAATTAATACAAGGCGGGTCAAAAAGAATTCAATCCCTAATATGAAGGCCTTCGTCCCTTACCACCCGGCTCCTATGATGGGTATTATTAAATTAGATACTCATCATGGATTCGGCCAGGCTCATAATGCGAATGACTGAGTGGTGAGGGACGGGTCTCCACATATTCTGGAGGAATCGCACGTGAAAAATTTTTGGGGTTGCACTTCTGAATTCCTGCTCAGTGCATTAGGCTTAAATAAAGAATACATTGAGAATCTGGACATGTTCTATTATTAATATTCCATATTTATCTATGTTTATTGAATAAGCTCTGAATATCAAACAATTTTGTAGGATTAAATTATTTTTAAATGTGTGACGTCGCCGAACCGCGCGTAACGGCAGGATGGCAAGCAGTGCCGAAGAGTATGTGGGAATGATGACACAGAGATAATTAACCCGGTTTATTATAAGCTTATAGCTAAAACAGTCGACAAACTATATTCCGATTTGCTTCTTCTCTCGAAGAGCGACCTCTCTATTAGAGAGGTTGCGGCCGACGTTTCCAACGCGAAAACGTGTACGTCGGATGTTCAGCGCCGCCTTCTGTAAGCCTAGAAATTTGACAATGGCGTTTAGGACGTCGAGCATGATTCCACTGACATTCCAAACGCCATTGACAAACTTCTAGGCATACAAGAAGGCCGCGCTGAACGTCCGACGTACACGTTTTCACGTTGAAAACGTCGGCCGCAACCTCTCTAATGTCCTACGGCAGATCGCAAGGCGAGTCAACATCGTCTGTCAATTCGATCCCTATCGAAGATGATCGATCTTAGGACTTACATTATTCTATTGTTTTAATACGAGAAGTACAGTTTTTTCGATAATTTCTTCCAAACGTGTCTTTTTATGGACATAAAATTTCTGTTTTTCTTTTTATAGCAGTTTTCTTTTTGCAGCTTTCAAAATATTATTATTTTCTACATTTATACAAGAAAACAAAATTTAATTTTTTCGTGTTTCCTGTTCACTTCCGGAGCCTCACAAATAAAACATTATGTTCATAAATTTATATGTTTAACAGTATAGGTATAATTAATTAATTTAATTATTTCTGTATAATAGAAGGAAACGTGCCAGACAAGATCGTGATTTTTCTATTAGAAGAATTATTCAAACTGTGTATGTACGTGTACGTGACTTCATTATACATTCGCTCATTACTTAATACAAAATGCCAACAATGTTTCTTCCCTGATCACGGGGTAAGTTATTATTTTGTCTTTATAAGTTATCTGAGATCTGATCCGATCCAAATCGCATGATTTTTATAAATAGCTCTGATCGGGACGTTACTGCTCGTATCTTTATCCATATTGAAAAACTTCATTGAGAGTCAGACCCAAAGGAGGATTTAGGAGGTGCGCCCTGCGCACTTGTACCTCCTTCCGAGGGTTTTTTTCCGAGCAAAGCCAAATACTTAGTTAAATGGTAAATATTTTACAAGGTATTCCTGTATCTCCTCTAGAGAGTTCTGGATCCTCTATTGGCCAGACTCGCTTGAAATAAACAAAATCGAGGGTGAACGTTTTGTGATTTTGCCTTAATAGTCCAATCATTAATAAATTTTTATGATTTCAAACCGTAATGATAATTATATAATTTATTTAGTCGACATCGGTCTAAGTCTAGTTTAGGCAGTTATTTGTTAGAGCGGCGGCAGATGTGCAAACAACACTATATATTGTATTCCTCTTTCCCTTCCAATTAATTTTCATTTGTTATTTTACTAATACAGTATAAAAACAGAGATGAGTTATAGAATACAGTGATGTAGAATAATTCACAACGCAAAATTGACTATCAGCTCTCTTCTCTTCCTTGCAATCCTGATCGAAATGTCATAGTAAAGTATCAAAGGCCATAGTAGGTTATGGCAACAGAACACTTGGCTGATCTGCCTAGGTGGGATGCCTTTCGGGAGGTCTTTTTTAAAGGAAAGTGGCCCCTATTTAGGCGTTACAAACGTGAAGAAAACCCTGAAAATTCTACGTGGACAGCCCGTCCGAGCGAGGCGCGAGCCCATGACTGAACTCCCAGTGTTCGGGGTACGAAGACCGCTTGGCCACTGGTAGGCTGCCATAGTAGACCCGTAAAATGACAATCACAGGCACAATGTCGATCGCAGTAGAACAAATAAGAAATCATGTGCACAAAATTAACGTTTAACAAATTCTCCGAAATCATCCGCAATTGAAGAGTGCAACGAAATAGTTTTTAAAACTGTCGTGAAAACCCTAAAATAGTTTCGTTCATGGTGTAATGCATATAAAAAATTATTAATTCTTAGACAATTCTTTTCTTTAGTGGTGAAGGAAGGGATCCGATATATCTGGATGGACCACCCTCCGAAAAATTCCCGATAATTTTGATCCGTCCGACATTCGATCCCGGGTCTCCAGAGTGGCGGGCTGCTACCTTGAACAGTTATGAATCATGTGAGTTTAGAAGGTCCAACTCGTTGCTGACACTCCACAAACTAATATCGCAAGACTAGATTTTCCTCCTAAATTATTTCTCCTTTTAAATTTCTCCCTAAATTTCGGGAAAATCGCCTAAGTTGGCATCACTGATCACGATACGTTTCCACATCTCCACCTATAAGTAACAGAAAATACAGGAGGAAAAAATATTATTAAATTAACTGATTAAAAACGATCTTATACAGTTATAAATACCGAAAAATATAATTTCGTTTATCTATAACTTGTAACAAACCATCACAACAGTACAGCCGCTATCCGGACTCCATATTTCGCATTGTAAAACCAAATATAAAATTTAACTTTAAAAAATTTTAATTAATCTTACAAATATAATTTAAAGAATTTAAAATATTAATAAAAACACAACACGCGACGATACGTTATTAATAATTAAATAAATTTTTTTTAAAAATATAATAATAACGATTTTTATAAAGAGGGCGTTAGTGAAATTTTTCTTGGCAACTCGCCAAAATTGAAATTGACACTTATTTAAAAACTAATTTTTGTAAGTTATATGTAAGGTTTATATTATATTTGAATTGTACTTTATATTGTGAAGGTAAGTATATTAAGTTGCATAATTAATAAGACATATTGATTTATTGGTTTATTAGTATTGATCACGTTTAGTTTTATTAATATAAAACACTTAACAATGTCAACGAAGTGAGTACATGTGTACTTACATTTAAAGCAAATAATTAATAAAAAATCCATTTAAATCACATATTTACCTTATTTAATGCTTGAACAAACGTTTAATACAAAATCTACTGATTTAGGATGATATAATTTTAATTTAATGGAGAATAATTCACTAAAAAAGGATTTTATTTGATGAATTTTATATAAAAACTGCCTTAATGGTGATTATTTTAGAGGAAGGATAGCTGAAGTTAAATCTCTGACTTGAAGGTCAAAGGTTGACTTTGGGGTTAAGAGGTCACATGCTAATGATTGAGAGTTCTCATAAAAATTTAAATGGACTGTACATATAAATTTTATATTAATGAATAAATTATATGTCTTAAAAGAGTCTACAGTTGCTTTTCCTAGTAGAAAGTGGAATGCTTAGAAATTTCTCAGAAGTTCGCTAAGAGATGGGGAAATTTCTCATAAAATACCCTGGGGCAGTATCTTGTTTGTTTTAGTATTGCTGCAACTATTGGTATGTGATGTTAATTATATGTTATAAACATAACTAAAATCTCATTTAAAAAAGTGTAAAATTGATGAAACTAGAACAGGATGAAAGTGATAAGTTTCATCCTGTTCTAGTTTTCTTTCTATAAAAATTTAATAATCATAACAAAAAATGATTTATGGTAAGTTATAACTTGTTAAAAATCTGGGTAACATTAATATAAATAATTAAGTGAAAAAATAACACACATTCAACTGCCATAAATCATAGAGTTGAAGGTATGTTGTTGCAATGTATCGGGTTTAGTATAGTTGTTTATAAGTGAAAAAATTTTTAATATCTGTGAAATTGCAACATTTATAATAGTTATTGTGTTAACTTATGTAATAGTTTTTAAATTTAAATATTTATAATAAATAATACCGCTTTTTAAATGAAGTTTTTAATCGTTTTACTGTTTGTTTTTACACCTTGCTTGGAATTATTACCCGACTTCTTCGAAACTGAAAAATTAATATTTAATTATGATAATTAAATTAATTATTTAATTAAATCAACAATTTTTTAAAATTAAACTTTTTTAATAAGCCAACAAACTCAGTTTATTAAAAATTGTAGATAAATGCTTTTAATTGATTAAGGGTGGAATTCGGAAATATTACTCGAGCCTCTTGCCCACATCTTATGCTTTTTTATTTCTTACTTCATTGAGGATGAGTGAAAAAGTTGAATCAAATATTTTTATTTAACCAAAAGAGCCTTTTCTGATCTTTGCTTTGTGTAAAAATTTCGCATTTTTAATTAATAAGTCCTATATCAGAGTTTTTATAACTATTTTTAACAAATTAATGCTTTTGTTTGGCTTTTATGAGAATTATATTCAGCCTACTTGATTTTCTGTCTTGTTTACAGACAGAAAATCAGTCTACTCTGATTTTCTATCTGTAAACAAGGCAGAAAATTACAGTAGGCTGAAGATTGAATTAAGTTTTTAAATCTGAAATACAAGAACAGAATTTTTATTAATTTCTTCTAGANGATAAATATTTACAAATAATGATGCTATTACTTGGTTATACAAATAAACTGAAAATTGTTGTTGTTTATAAGTATTGCCTCTTAATAAAGTTGTCTGTAGTTTGACTAATTTACAGAGAGAATATTTATATTTTAACAAATAAACAGTAAAAATAGTTATTTATACTTACTGTTAATGTTTTTAAATTGAATAAAATTTTTTTTATTTTGAATTACAAAGCCAGCATTGAAAATGTCAAAATTAAAAATCTAGCAACAAGTTGCTTAACTTTCCCAGCAATTGTTGGTGGTGCAATCTGTTATCACGTTTTATTAAAAGGAATTTTTATATTTTTTAACTATTATAAAATGGTAAAAAGCTTAATTTTGAGGGTAAGGATGGGTTTTATAAAAAAAAATTGCAAATGCTAATAACAAGTAAAATTGCCATTAAGTCTGACCCTACTCAAGATACATGACTCTACTTTATCTCCCTACCTCTTTGACCTTTAATCACCAAAATTTAATAGCATCAATCCTCCTAATAAACAAACCTTCCTGCAAAATTTCAAAAATTTTTGACCAAATGCACAGGAGTTATTAAGCATCAAAGAGGATGAACAAAATCATGCCCCTCACACATATTAATATTAATATACAGAAAAACCCCCAAATTTTTTTGCATTTCTCGATGTTTCAAGATCCCAAATCCAAAAATGTAAAAATCTCGGAGGGTCATTTTTAACCAATTGCCATAGTTTCCCTCTGTTATATATAAATAGCTGGGAAATTAAAAAAAATGATTTGTTTAGAATTATATGTATATCTGGATTAATTATAAATAAATATCTGGATTAATCATAAATTACCTAATATATATATATACCGCGTGTATCAGAATGACATTTTAAAAATTTGGGGGATTGTAGAGGATGAAATTTTGAATGTTTTGATATAAGGAACGTATAACCGGAAATTTGAAGTGGTGTCTACAGAGGTTGGAAGTGCTTGACCGCCCTTCACTTTGGTAGCTACCCTTCCATCCATTGACATCACGTTATTGCTGCAGATGGAAGACTGTAAACACACAACAACTACAGTGGTCTAACTGAGCCTGTGTATAGGACGTTGTGTACTTAGTGCTTGTTGTTCTACAGGTCACTCCTTGCATCCACTGACACTGTGCTGTAAACACGCAGCTAGTCAATGTGAGTCAGTGTACAGTTGTCTGCTTATCGTGCTTCACGTATTGTGGATACGTTCTGGCATCATGGAGGGTAACTACACATTTGGAGAACTTGCTGATATGCATTTGTGTTATGCTGATGAAGCTCAAGGGAATGCCATTGCGCATACTGATCGCATAGAACGTGCTGTAGAAACTTTATATCACATTTCTGGCTATACATTCCTTATATCAAAACGTTCAAAATTTCATCCTCTACAATCTCCCAAATTTTTAAAACATCGTTCTGATACACCCTGTATTTAATATTTTTCTTATTAATAAGTATGTATTGTTTCAAAAAGTTACTCTTTAATGGATTACCATGTAACACGTTTCCCTAATTTTCTAATAGTTGTAAATACAGTAGAAACCCAATTATCCAAGGAAACATTTTTCAAATGTCCATTAGAGTTAAGAAAAGTAATGTATTGACTTTCATGTTTCCTTGGATAAAGGGTTCTACTGCAATTATAGTTCAGATTTTCAATTTTCAATACTCAATAATAATTTTAATTCCAGTCAATATTAGAAAATAAGTATGGTTATAAGAAATATCTGCTGTCTGGGAGCCGGGTACGTCGGAGGTCCCACCTGTAGCGTCATCGCTTATAAATGTCCACACATACAGGTGGTCGTCGTTGATAAAAGTCCCCATCGGATAAACCAGTGGAATTCAAACGAATTGCCAATATATGAGGTAAACCTTTGTAATTGTAGTAAATAAAGTTGTTTATAACTTTAATAATGTTTAATAATTAAAACTTTGTTTACGATTATCATCTCATTTGCAAAAATAAAAAAATTTTCTGGAATTTTGTATTTTAGAAAAAGAAAAACAAGAATTTTTTTTCTCTCTTATATTTTCTTATATAAATCAATGTCTATATTATATTTCAGCCCGGTTTGGAAGAGTTGGTGAAGAAATGCAGAGGAAAAAATCTGTTTTTCTCAACCGACATAGACTCTGCTATTAAAAAAGCCGATCTGATATTCATTTCAGTAAATACGCCGACGAAAACTTACGGGTTTGGAAAGGTTGGTAAAAAATTTTGAGTCAAATAAAGTAGCGAAATATTTTAAAATATGAGTTATTTTTAGTCTTTAAATACAAATGAAGAATTGATGTAATGTGTTAGAGATAAACTAACAATAGGTATTTGGATATGAACAGTATTCATTGAAGGAAGTTTGAGTCAAGATAAATTTTCGTACAATAAAATGCTAATCACATACTCAGAACCAATTATTGTGTGCAGATAAAAAGAACAAACAAAAACTAATGTTTTCAAACTCCTTCCAAGTTCTTCATTGGGTTTAGTAACAAACTCAGAAGGAGTTCAAAATCATTTGTTTTTGTTTGTTTTCTTTATCTGCACACCGTAATCAGTTCGGAGTATGTGATTAACTATATCCCAGTGTGTTGAGTGGTTGTTTAATAAAATGCTATTATCAATAAATGCTATTTAAAATATGAAACCAAATATCTCATCTTAATTTATAAATACATAGGATTTCCAATTGATATTAACTTTGTTTTTATTTCTATTAGGGGCGAGCCGCCGACCTACGATTTATCGAAGCCGCAGCTCGAATGATAGCGGACGTCATAGACGGACCCAAAATAATCGTAGAAAAGAGTACGGTGCCCGTTAAAGCTGCAGAAAGCATTACGAGAATATTGAAAGCTAATGTCAAAATAGGAGTGACGTATCAGGTAAATTTTGTAAAATTAAGATTTACGTAAATTTTATCGTAATGCCAAATATAAATTAATAATTTGAAAGAGAATGCATTGAAATTAAATGTTTTAATTTTTAAATAAGGTGTTATCCAATCCTGAATTTTTGGCTGAAGGTTCTGCAATAAGTGACTTATTGCAACCAGATAGAATTCTTATCGGAGGAGAACAGACTATTGAAGGAAGAGCTGCTATCAATGAATTATGCGAAGTTTATAAAAATTGGATATCTGAAGAGAAAATAATTACCATGAATACATGGTCCTCAGAATTATCAAAATTGGTAAGTGTTAGAAGTAAAATTTTTATATACTATAGATACAGTAAAGTTTATACGACAAAATCTTAAAACAATAGTAAATAATATAAAATTCTAGCCTTAATTTTGTTTAATCAAAGTGTCAAGGTGTCACAGAAGAATTGTCATTACCATATACATTTAGCAGATTTGTAAAACTTCTCTTTATTCAATTTAGATATAAATTTCAAATCACTTTTGTTTTATTTCATAACGTTCATTTATTTATATTGCTCTGTCATCACTTTAATTATAATTGAACGATTGATTAGAAAATTGGTTATTTCAATTTGAATAGTTATTAATAATTTAGATGGAAATATTTTACCAAAGAAATTTTTTTAAACACATAAATACAGTAATGCAAAATTAGCAGTTATTTATAAATTTTACAGTATATTTTATGTTTATTTAGGCTGCTAATGCCTTTCTAGCACAAAGAATATCAAGTATTAATGCCATTTCTGCTGTATGTGAGGCTACAGGAGCTGATGTAACAGAAGTTGCCCACGCAGTAGGTACTGATAGTCGGATTGGTCCTAGATTTCTTCAAGCTAGTATAGGTAAGATATAGCGTAAATTATATTAATATTCAAGTGGGTGCATAGATTAAAAGTAATTTAATACATAAGAGTTTAGTTTTTCATGGATTGTTGACACTAAATAACTGAAAAAGTCAATAATTATACAAACAGAAGCATTGTAACATGGATATATACTAGCATTGGACTGGCAACAAATTTTTGCTCAGAAACATATACCAAATATAAGACCACCTAAATACAGTGATTGAAAAAAGCCCGGGAATTTTTCAATGGATGATCTGTCTCAGACATTTCAGGCTCTGTTCTTCACCACCTGGTCACCCTCTTGTGAACCTGGCCAAAACTATGATGGGCTTGCAAAAAGGGCTCTCTTATGCCCACATGATGGAAAGAGTAAAAAAAAGATTTAAATCATGGCAGCCTACGGCCCAAGATGTGATCAGATATTTTCAAATTCAAAGTTACAAAATGCATATTGTGGCAGATGGAATGTCAGTTTGCATGTGCTGTTTCACAATGGTTTGCATCCAAATCAAGGTCGGACATTTTAAAATTTTAAATGATGTACTACATTTGCTGGAAACCCAGCTATATGTTTTTACAGAAAATAATACAGGTGTGCTTACAGCCTAAATTAGAAAGACTTCTTAATTTAATACAGTACACAACTTATATTTTATTTATTAATTTATTTTTCTTGAATGAAATATAACTTGTATTAAAATAAGGAATGGTCATCAAGCAAAGGGCTCACTGGAAAATTCCTGATGAGCCAGTCCACACCTGATAGCTATTGAAAGAATTCATGTGTAGCTTCTCTTAACCAAAGAAAATTCATGAGAGAATTATATTGGATTACTTTGTATTGTTCACATTCACTCTAGTATTGATATAATCAAATATGTTACAAACAGTAGAATTAGGATAACAATATTCAAAAATTTTATTTTAGGAATATCTTTAGAAGTCTCCAAATAAAAGAAAGATCATAATAAAAGTATAAAATTAACCAAAAGTTCAATTCCATTTTTAAATTAGAAATTTAATATTTAAATTTAGAATTAATATAATACAGACATAAATTCTTTGATGTTTAAAACCTAAAACACATTTTAAATTTATAATAGGTTTTGGTGGTAGCTGTTTTCAAAAAGATGTTTTAAACCTTGTTTATCTGTGTGAATGTTTAAATCTTCCCGAGGTTGCTACTTTTTGGTATCAGGTATTATTTTCCTTGTAAATTATATTTAAAATAAATGTTATTTGCAGGAATTATATAATTCTTAAATATAATATAATATAAAGTGTCTTCCAAAAGGAATACTACCATCTATAATTATGTTAATTATTACCCAAGAAGTATGTGACACATACCAATTGATAGAATAACCACCACCAAAGTTTCATGACCCGTCTGCATTCAAACATCTTGTCGTTTACTACTACTAGGAAGCATTATAAATGAAAAGGTGATTTGCAGTAGAGAACACATTTTGTGTTCTGCAATTTGCAAAGTCAGAATTGCTCATCATTGTGCAATATGAATAATCTGGAATTGTGGCTGCTGTGGGAGGAGTGACAATGACTATGTCATAGCGAGTATAGGAAGAATCTGAGTATTGATTGGACGTGTACCATGTGACACAGGTTTTACATTGAGAAATTGTAATGGACAAATGTAAAACTTTGTCAATTTTCCAATGTTGTAATATACATTAAAACATTCTTGTATAATAATTAGTGTAATTACAATAATTTAAAATGGTAGCATTCTTTTTTAAAACCCTGTACTATTTGCTAATCTATATAATGTTACATGATAATTTATTATGATTATTTCAATACAGCCAAGCCATAGTTACGTTATCTATCAATATTTTTATCATCAATTATGATATACTTTTCATTTAATATTAGGAACAGATTTAGCTCTAAAATATTTCGTAAAATTAATTTTCCAACAAGAAACATTCATTCGTGGATGAAACCCGAATAATCAAAGATGGGAATCAAGTCTTTAAACAGTATTTACTCATTAGATACATTAAAAAAATTGTTGTTGATGATTTTTAAAAAGATTGCCATTGATTAAATTTATAATCTTAAAGTTAATTTTATCTGGATGTCAACTTGTAAGTAATTTTCTATTAGAAAAATGGATTTGATTTTTAGCTACTATTGACTTGTCTTGATTCTTTTTAATTCAATGAGAGGAGAAAAGAGGATTAAATGATTATAAACAAAAATTGAAGATAAAAGTAGAACAATTTTACTTGTGGATTGAATTAATATTATTATTTTTATTTTTAATAAATACTGGAGAGAGAATTATTAATAAAATGAATCATTTTTTTGGGTCTAGCTAAATTCCAAAATATTTATTATTCTTGGATACATATCACAATAATTTGGAGATAATCCAGATTAAAATTCTTTCCAATTTAATACTTTAATTATATTTTATTTCTTTTGATCTTAGACCTAAGGAGCAGTGTCAAAATTCATTGCTGACTGATTTGATTGATCAATTTATGAAACAATTAATGGGTATTTTATTAATTTAACTATTCTGTTTCAGTTTGATTTTTATAGAATAATATAACAATTTTTATACAATGATTTTTGATTAGCACGATTATATTTGTTGTAAATATTTAAATTAAATAAAATTTCTCAACAAAGAGAAGCATATTTTACCTTTAGTTAATGACAAAAAACAATACTGACAAATAATTCTTTGTATCAAATATAGGACAATATAAAAATTTTATACCATAAGGACAAATACATAGTTCATTTTGAGCATTTACTGTTTTATATATATTTTTATTTTCTAATCAAAGTGTGATGATTTAGAAAAATCAATAATAATTGCTATTGCTATAAATGACATTTTTGTTAAAATCAACATCTTCCTTCAAGATTTAAATTTAATCAGTTAAACTCTGCTTTACTGGAAAACTCATTTACAAGAACTTAGTACAAAAGTAACAAGGACTGAAATATTTTCGAACTGCCTGGTTCAGTAGTAGGAACAATAACCAATTAATACTGTATTAAAATATAAAGTAGTTTGGAACTTTAACACATTAAACATTAAAATTAAAAACAAAACTTAAAATTTTCAAAAGCAAACATCGAGACACCATTCAGTGCCAACGATGGCAATCTTGATGATGATCTTCCGAAAATTTTGAATTTGGAGCTTGGAACATTTTGAAAAATGTTAATGCTTTGTATGTTAAAGTTCCAAACTATGCTTTGTATTTTATTTAGTTAACATTTTTAAAAATGAGCCAGGAGGCTCAGACGTACTCTGATTTCTGTTCCTTGTACTATTGTAAAATGAATTCTTTGGTAAAGCAAAGTTTTTTTTTCACATTTATTTATAATATACTATTAAATGTTTTGATTTAGTGACATGCTGATTTTTGTTTTATTGATCATCATTTCCTATATTCATTCTTTCTAACACACAAAATACTCATGGAATTCCAAAAGTGTTTTTTTATGTTTATTTTATTGTAATTTGATTCAAGAACATAAAAATAAACATATTAAATTTGAGAAACTCCCTGTAAATTATCTGGACTTACACCCATTAACATTCCCTTTTGTGAAATTTGGGAAGAAGGTGTTATTTTTAAGGTCAGGTAGATGGTCAGTGTAGCCCACACTCACTACTAATTAACAGCTAGTTTAGTTAGAATCTGATTAATTTTATATATTAGACACAGTTTAACTGGCATGCCTGTAATTCTGGGATTTCTGGCATGCCAGTAATTCTGCAAAAATACAGTATCAGTTTAAATAAATGATTGTAAATATAACTATTAAATAGGTAATTTTTTTCTTAGGTGATAGAAATGAATAATTTCCAACGGACTAGGTCGGCCAAAAGAATTACCGAATCATTGTTTAACACAGTCAAAGATAAGAAAATTGCTATTTTGGGTTTTGCTTTTAAGAAAAATACTGGTGACACAAGGTAAAAATGCTACATTTATAGTAGTATATTATTGTACAAAAAAATTGTATATTACATTACACATTAGAAATGTCAGATAGCTGAAATTTATAACTTTTTATTACATTTTAAATTTGATTTGAAAGTTTAAAATATCTAATTTTGTGAAATAAACTCTTGAATACTATGATAAATATTTAATTTGGTTGTTATCTATTCTTGACTAAACACACTCAAGAATACCTTTTAAATATGAAGCCGTATTTATTAAATTCTAATGTTTTTGGTCATATTTAATGACCTTTATCAAGAATAAACAGAAAAAATCAAACTCCGAACTCTGAAAAAATTTGAATTAACAATACAGGTATTTTGGAACGTTTTTTAAAAGGATATTCTTGATATTTTATTAATACAACATAGTAATTAGAATCCACCTTTTTGGTTGGAAGACATTAAAAAATTACAAGATTTATATCTTAAAATAATAATAATAATAATGATGATGAATATTTACATAATTAAAAAAGCTTTCAAATTTTTTAAAATAAAAATTCAAAAGATATACAGTGGAACCCCGGTTAACGAACTTTTATTTTGCAAAAATTTTGTCTCGGATAACGAACGTAACGGTATTTTGTGTCAAATTTTAGTTGGTGTTAGGCATGCGCGAGTTAAGCATTGCTTTTCCGAGTGTTTGTGCTATACTTCTTTTTTCAGTTTTGTGATTTACATATTTAATCAATATGGCATCAAAGAAAGAAAAACGTCATAGTGGCAATAGAAAACGACAACGCGCTATCGCATTTGAGAAAAATTTTGATTAAAAGAGTAAAACAATCAACTTTAGATCAATTTCTTGTTCCTTACGGAAAGAATTTGTTTCTTTGTTAAATTATGGCAACGCAACACTTGGGCGATCTGACTAGGGGGAATGCCTTCTGGGAGGTGTTTTTAAGGGAAACTGGCCCCTATTTAGGCGTTAAAGACGTGAAGAAATCCCGGAAAACTTCACGTGGCCAGCCCGTCTGAGCGAGGTGCGAACCCACGAACGAACTCCCCGTGTTCAAGGTACGAAGACCACTTAGCCACTGGTGGGTTTTTTTACCGAAAGAGACTTCGACTCGAAGAATCTTCCGATGAAGTGCTACTTGTTATTGTTTTGGAGGGATTTCCCTTCTAAGCATTAAGGTTCATATATCTCCACTTTTCTGCCATCAACTACAACAAATGAAGGTATTATTAAACAAAGTTTACATGTTTGTTGCTGTAATGATAGATACTACGTTTTCCTACATTTTCATCAAAGAAAATTACTGTATATTTCAAATAAAATGACAAAAATTTTGGAGACTAGAACGAATTAATTGCATTTGCATTAATTTCTATGGGAAAAATTGCTTCGGTTAACGAACAATTCAGTTAACGAACGGAGTAGCGGAATGGATTAAGTTCGTTAACCGGGGTTCCACTGTACTAAAGTAATAAGACTAAAATATTTTCTTTTATAAACTGAAAAATGAATTTAATTATTTTATTTTACTGGTTTTAAGTTTTTATTTGTAAGGGAAAACAAATTTTTCTATTTAAAATCCAATATTTAGATGAGTATTATAGAATGATAGGTGCAAATGTTTCATAAGTTGTGAAGCATTTCACCCATATGCTTTGTCACGATAGGCAAGGATGCATTTACTCCAGGAAATTTTGATTGTTGGGGTATGTGAACTCATGTCAGTGGTATGAATGCATCCATCCCCTTTGTATTCTACACACGAGACTCCTCAAGATGAATCTCTGTGGCAGACAAAAGAGTACCACACTAGTTGTTGATTATTCTGTCATTGTGAAGTTTCTAATCGAAGTCAAGTGTCCAACTTCTATTGGAAAGTTGTTATTATTGACTTTGATAAACAGTGAAGTTTATGTACCTTGCCAAGAAAAAATCTAAGGAGACACTTGTGTTTTCCAGTGGCCAGATGTGGAAGATTATACAGACATTTCAAGATATTGTCCAGTCTCTTGGCAAAATGTGACATGTTGGAAGATGCAGTTTAATTTCTTTCTGTTGCAACTTCCAGTCTTATTATAACCTAGGGTAAGATGCCTCAAAAGAAGTCCTAGACTATCTGTTCAGGTGAATGAAAGTTACTGTCAAGTGATTTCATCATGTTCTTGATTTACATTTCTTTTGTAACTAGGGAACTAAATTAGTGAGCTGTTGTTACTTCATTTGCTATGGCCATAATAACAGTGGAGCGTACCGAAGTCTTTATACAAATGAAAGGTTGCCATCACAGCTTTGGCACATTTGCCTAAGCATTTGATTTCATTTAGATCTTTCTAGTTATTACAGTTGATGGTGCATTTACCCCCACTAGTGGAGTAAAGTGCACCCTCCTGCATTATTATTAGAAAATGTATGCTGGCTCAGCAAATAGCAGTCATTCGAGACCTGTGATACTCGCAAATTGTTGCTATGGAACTAGATAAATTACTCCGGCTATTGGTTTTTGAAATCAGGCAATCTTTACTCTGCATTACTAGCTTGATCTTTCAAGTTCTGGAATTGAGGATGCACTTATACCATTTGACGTTAGATTGATTTTTTCGGGATTTTACTCTTCTTTTTGTTGAATTTATTAATGTTGGATTGAATGATATATGGTAGAGAGTTTAGATTTCAATATGAAATTATTTTATGTTAAATAAGATTGTTCAATATCATTTACGGATGCTCTATATACAAAATTTCTCAAATGAAAAACATATAGATTTAGTATTTAAGTTACACAAAATGCACAAAATTATTTTAATAAATATTTTTTAATATCTACTTATTTTTTGTCATTAAATTTAATTAATTTATTTATTTTTAGGGAATCTGCAGCCATTTACATTTGTAAGCATCTATTGGAAGAGGGTGCACATTTATCAATATATGATCCAAAAGTGCACAAAAATCAAATAATTGAGTAAGTATATCTTTATAAGATCAGATTTAAATATGTAATTATTTATCATAAATTTTTTTGGAAATTAATTATATATTATATAAATCAAAAATATTTGTTGCAATTCTTAAAACTGATTACTACAATTTTCAGATTTGACTTAATAAGTGTGCAAGTCATGCATTTATTGTAAAATTTTGATTTAAAATATAATTATGAAGTTTAATATAGGTGTTAACATCATTTTTAAAGCATTATTATTACTACAGTTCTTCAGTTAACATTTTGATAGAATTAATACTATATATTCTGCCATATTTACAACAAACAACTCCACTAAAGCCCGATACATTATATTAAAAGCCAACCAATGCCGTAAGTCGTCGGGATAAATAACTGCTATAATAAAAATAAATTACGCAATAATATAATACAAATAAATTACAAAATAATTTATTTGTATTATGGCCGTTATTTAGCCCAAGGACTTAAGACATTGGTCGGCTTTTAGTATCATATTTACAACATTTAACAACATGCAGTTTGTATCTCCAAATGTTCAATTTTTGAGAAGACATTTTATTATAATTTTATGTTTTACTGTTTAATATTTGAATCAATTAATAATATAAGTAATACAGATAACTTTAACAAACTCAAAGATATGTAAAAATGAGTTCTTTAATGAAGTCAAACTTAGATTAAGAATAAATCAAACTGTTAAAGTTTAAAGTTGTTTAGTTTGAAAGTTTTTAATTACAAGTACTTTCGACTTTTCAGAATGTCATCTTCAAGTTGAGCATATATAACATTTGAATTAGTTTTTAAAAACTTTGGTGTATTGGTACAGTTTGGCTTATTTTATTGATTCTAAATAATTTATTTAGAAATAAAAACTGTCAAAATTTAGTTTTTTTCTAATAATTCATGTTAATGGTTTTGGAATTGCTGCTAAACTCTAGACAGTTGATGCAATCATTTGCCAACAATTTGTGATTTCTTTATTGAATGAAATTTCAAACAATTTGGAAGATGATGTAATATCCTAACATTATTTTTAAATTTACGATCAAGACTTTCCTTTTTTTTTTTTTTTTTTTTTTAAGAAAATTGTTAAAAAATTTAAGGTAATAAGCAAATATTTTAAAAAATTTTCTTTAAATTTAATAATTAGTTAACAGGTTTAATATGGTACACTTTTCTATTTTCATTCTTTTCGGTCTTTTGGAGACCAAAAGAAAGAAAATGCCAAATTTTTTATTGTCACCTCATCATCAAGAGTACAAAATCTGTTGTAAAAGAAATACACTATAAATTCTAACACTATACTTTACCATTGGTCAATGGATAAAACTACTAAACACTGGTAATTGGTCATGAGTTCATGCCTAACCAACAAGCTGACCAAGTAGAGATTTCTGTTTTTTTTTTTTTTTACATGTCTAGCCCATATGTTATATTGTCTTATTACATTAATCCAGTCTAATCTACATACTGTAACTGTGTATATTTCTTACAAGAAATGCTTCTAAATTATTAAGAGGGAGAGAGATTTTTTATTTATTGAATTGATAAACTTGTAACCAAAAAGACTTTTTATTTTTTTTATAATTAAGGTCTATACCATTAATTTAGTCTTTTATTTACAAATAATTTTGTCTTAATGAAACATAACAGCCAAAAACTGACTTTAATGAAATTCCTTTTATTTAATAGTGATTTGAAAAGTACAAAATCTGCAGAAAATCCAGATCAAGGTTTGTTGTTTCTAAATTCTCATTTAACAATGATATTCTTGAAAAAATAAGTAATAAAATGTAATTATTATTATTAAAATTATTCGAAATTATAAATATTTTGCAATATTTACAAATGTTAAAATACAGTTTTTATAACTAATATTAAAGTGCATTGTTTCCACTAAAAACTTATTTTTAAATTAAAAGTTGGCTGACAGTATTTTTATTAAAATACAAAAGATATGTATACTGAAGATAACTTTGTATCTTCGATATACATATTTTTTTGTATTTCAATTTATTTTTAAAAATTAAACATTTCAGTATTGCTTCTTATACAAATTATAAGTTATGCAAATTGTTTTAACATATTCTTTTAATGTCAGAGTCAACTAAAACTTGAATTTCCTCTAATTGTAGTTTAATTTACCTATGTTACTTAACATTATGATTTGGTTGTTATTTTCGGTGTAGGCAAGATTCAAGGGTCAATCACAGAGACAGTTTTCACTAAATCCAGTTTAGAGTAAAAATGGTATATAACCATGGTCTTTTATACTGTGGTGTAAATGTAAACTTCAGTGCAAAGATGCAAATTGACAACCTTCAAACACTGTCTTCCAACTTAACTTTGTAAGAGTTTCAATTATTACAATTGTTTTCTGTACTACAATGGTTTTTATAATTAGTTTTATTTGAACAAATTGCTCGCATTAAAATTTCTTAATAAAAGAATCATGAAAATGGATTATGATTATATGTTGCTCATTCACGAGACAGAAAAATGCTTACCACAGTTAATATTATTTATATTTTGTTGCTTTGTATTTATCTTTTAATAGTGTTTCTGATTATTACAATTGATTAAAAGCTTCCAGTTGGGCTGCAATTTGAAAAAATTATAGACTTATAAATTCCCACTGTCGACATCTGTCCATATGTCTTTCCTTAATATTCAGAACGGTGTTACGTAAATGAAATTACAGACCAGTTATGGAAAGTTTATGGGCAGGAAGTCCCAATTAACTATATACAAACTTCCGATGCAAACTGGAAGTCATGTTATTTCAATTCAAAATTTTCTCCGAAAGGAGTTAGATAGATGACCAGCATAACTCCATTGCTAATAGAAAAGTATGATGCACTGGGACAGGCACTACTGTACTAATTTGAGGTAGAGAGCATTATTTCAAATTAAATAAATTAAAATTATGATTAAAAATTGCAGCCGAACATCATAATGATGCCATAATAAATAATTGCTCATTAATATTAAATTTAGATGTAATGAATGAATCATGTCAAATTAAAAGGTAGTTTCTGAGAGATGTAGCCATAGTACACTGTAAAATTCTGTTCTCAACATTTCCAAAAAGGAAAAACTTTTTTTTTAAAGGAGTTGAAAGATATAAAATATAATAAAATAATTTGTCATTCTGCAAGCAGTTTTGAATATGGAAAAAATTCATTTTTGGGTAAATATATATATATATATATATATATATGGCATCTATAAATGAATCTGAAGTTCCTGACAAGCAGCTTATTACTTTAATGTTATTTTTTTTATAACTTAATGTATTTTTTCTTTCATTTATTTAATTACTTTACTGTTTCTGCCCTCTGGGTGCTAAGAGGGGCTTTTTCACATTGTGGGTTTTGCCAGCCCATGATACAGTCAGCCAGATTATATGGGATGGGGCTTACGATGCAACTATGCAGATGCAAGTGAGAATTTTCCATGCAATGTGCAAGCGAGCGAGAATATGTTGCAAAAAGAGGTGATGACATTTCTCACTCTCATTAAGTACAGTATGACTACACCGATGCAAGCAAATGGGAGAAAGATGCATGGAGATGCTGATGTCATATATTCACGTTGAATTCATCACAGAGAAGCATGAATTATTGTGCTGTAAGGAAGTAAAAATTAAAATGGTTTGACCAGAAAGCTTACTACTAGCAAAGAAAAACTTCATAATAAATATATAAAAAGAAAATGAAAATACAGTATTCCTCTCCTGGAAACAGCAAAAATATTATTATTATTTGTTAATTAAACAGAATTTATAAGACTTTATGTATATCAATAGTTTTAAAAAAAAATTCTTTTTGTATATACAGCAGATGAAAGATGTGAGAAGCCATCTCCTACTCTGCTTGTGCACTAATTGGCGAGAAGAGGCGAGACGTGATAAATAGCAAACCCTGTCAGAAATTTGCTTTCTCCAGCAAGGTTTCTCGCTTCTCATTTGTGCATAGTTTTCCTTTGAGAGAACTACATCACTCACAACTTCTCATTTGCTACTAGATTCATGCCTATATAGTTGCACCCTTATTATATCCTGGACAAACTCCTGAAAAATTTCTAATTGCTCAGATTTAATTCAAGGTCCCCGGAGTGGTAGGCCAATTCCTCAACTGCTTTGGCCATTTGGTCGGCTGTATGTTAACTTTAAAGCATCATTTTTTTTATTTGCTTAAAAATAGAAAAAAAATTAAATCTTTTATATATTTTTATTATTTGAAAAATGATGTTTCCTAATTTTGCTTTCAAATAATTTATTTTTGGTTTATTTTACTTTTTTTTGTCTTCGTGTGAAGTTATATATTTTATACCTATTATACTTAATGTTTTATGTTTCAAATAGTCTATACTCTATTAACACTTACAGAAATTTTTATTTATTAAATTCTTTGACATCAATCTTTATTGGTTGTCAGTTTGATACCAAAACATCAAATTTGCTCTTAATTATACCATAATGGACAAGTAAAATTTTTGTTTATTTATTCAACACAATGAAGTGTAATTTTTACATGACACTAGGCTTAAACTACATTTCATAATGTTTAATAAATAAATAAGAAGACACACAGTTTCATAATAAGAAAAAAAAATAAAATAAATAAACTAAATTTTTGATTAAATCATAAATACTTTAGTTAAATGAAACTGTAGAATTATATTCAGTGCTATATTAATAAATCAAATTGAAATTTTATCTTTTCAAATCAATGTTTTTTTTCTAGTGTTACAAGTGATTAACATTCATAACAATCCGTACGATGCGACTAACGGTGCGCATGCTCTTGTCTTATGTACCGAATGGGACGAGTTTTTGGTACGTTGTTTTCTTTTAACAATTGTAATAAAATTATTTTAAATTTTCTTTATTTAATTAATATTGTTTCCTATAAAAATTCCACATTGCTGCTTAAATTTAATGACCAGCCATAAAGATTGTACAGTAAAATCTCCCTAAAGCCACTTTTTGTTTCAGCGATTTTGATTTTTTAAGAGGATTGGGAGTGAAAATCCTAATTTAAGACTAATGAGAGTAGTCGTGTACTTTTTTATACCTTATTTAAGTATTGTATTGTTAATCAGGCCACTTTGGAGTGATTTTCTTTTTTCACATTTAAAATCAAGTTATACACTAGCATGGTATATGAACTTGTCAGTAAACTGTTGACTCTAAATTTTAAAATAATAATATTTTATTTTCAGACTTTAGATTATAAGAAGATATACGATCATATGTTTAAACCCGCATTTATTTTTGATGGAAGAAAAATGTTAAATGTAGAAAAATTACAAAGCATAGGTTTTCATGTGGAAACTATTGGCATGAAAACATCTCGCTCGGCAGTCAATCGTAATTTTGCCGATCATTTAATTTGATAGGTATGTAAAATATAAACTTACGTTATTAATAGAATAATTTTTAAAGTATATTTCTGTTTTGTTTAGTGAAAACATCAAACGTAAAGAAACAACGGCAGTTTTCTTCCTAGAAATCAAACTCTCGAAGTTTACTTTTTTCTTTCGGGATTTCGAAAACATTGCAGAATCTCAAGATAAGATTTAGAAGAGTGCTTATTGGTGAAGTATGTTATTTATCTTGACATCTTGACACTAGTGATTTCGTTACCCTGGAACCATATTCGACATTACAAGACTTTCTGTGCTTTAAGAATTATCTCAGTAATGGATCGGGTCATCTAGTTTTCATACGTTCACTTTCAGTATATTTTATTATCTATTATAAGCCAGAAATCTGGGAAAAAAAATCAAAGTTTTAAACCAAAGAATTCATTAAATACATAGAAATTCCTTTCACGAGAAGACCAGAAGGCCACAATATTTTTTTTAAAGTTTTTACAGTGGAAAGAAGAATTGCTTATATCCAATTAATGTCAATATTAAGTGCATTTCTCTTTGAAAATTTTGGATATATTTGTTTACAATATAGTTTTATGATTAAATTTATGGTAATTGGTATGTTAAGTATATTAAAATAAAAGTTAAAATTTAGAATCTACATTTTATAACGAGCAGAAAATTAAGGTTTTGGTTAATGTCTTCTGATTTTCTGATTTGTTTAGAGATTATAGACATTTTAATTAAACAATTTCCAATTTTTATCTTTCCTATTTTATTTCCTACTAATTTGGCTATAATTCCATGTTTTAAATTATTTTTATACATTTATTTTGTGAATTTGTTCTTTTTGGACTGTTTAAGATGATTTTTACATTATATAATTATATATTTGCTACAAAAGAGAGAAGTAGATGAATGTTTGACCTATCTTTTGATGAGAGATGTTGTAAATTGCAAATAATTGACATGAAAAATTACAGATAGTAAATGTAATAATAATAAAACAAAAATCAAAAATTACCTGAAATAATTCATAAAGTTACTGCACAGTAAAGTCAATTGAAAAGTTGAAATATTATAGTTTAATTTTATTAAAGAAAATTTGTGTATATTCCACTTGTATTTGGGACACTACACTTGCAAAAAGATATTATTATTTTTAGAAAAAAATGAATAATAATGTCTTGTAATGTTAAAATTTAATATTAAACATTTTAAATGAATTATTCAGGCCTCTCTAGTTTTTGTAATATGCTTTATTATGAATTTGATAAAGATAAAATCAATAAATTACGTAACAAACATCCTGCAGAACTCCATGCTCGGCAAGAACAGAGATCACACACACAACTCAGTACAATACCTGCCTGTGATTGTGTGCTGACATTGTACGAAATTTTAAATATCAACAAAACACAAAAATATATAATAGAAATTAACAAACATTTATAAACACTTTTGGTAAATCAGTTCATCTTCCTCATGTGAATATAACACTTACGTCATTACGGATTTTATTCGGAGGTAGTTTATGAAAAATGTTTATTAATTAAAGATGACAATCTAATTATTCTCGAAGATGGATTAAATATGAAAACACTTGAAACTTTTGGTTTTTTTCTTATATTTTTTGTTGGGCTCCATTAAGACAGATCTATTCTGTCTGTTAAAGCTAAGCAGAATTATGAGTAAATATAAAATTTTGTTATAAATTCAAAGTGATAGGTCATCTTATCATTTTTTTAATATGACAGTTAGCACGTTTGCTGCCAGTTGATACATTTTTGCATCATGTGACCTTCACGCGATAGAGTTACGTCAGTCGATAGACATAAAAATCATCATAAATAACTCTCTCTGCAGAGAAACCTAGGTAAAATTATTCTTATTGCTTTTGAGGTGAAGCTAAAGCTTTTTTTTTTTTTTTTTTTTGTAATAAATATTGACAACTGATTAGTTCTATAATCATGATAAAAACAAATTAAACTGTTCTACATATTTACTGCATTAGACAAGTTATTTGCAGTATCGTGAAAATAAAAATAATTCTCGCATTAGTAGTTTGCATTTATTTTATCAAGGAAATTTTCTTTAAAATATAGGGTTTCTACATTAAATTTGTTCAAAAAAAAACATTAGAAATCAAAGATCATTAAAATAATGATAATACCGATGACGATCTTATATAATCTAACATAATGTAATATCAAACTGGTATTTTTGTATATTATAAGTATTAGAATTAAAGTGTAGATTATTTTTATGATTGTTTATTATTTGTGATTTGATGTTTTTATTTTATCTGTGTTCAGTTTTAGTATTTTCAGTGCCATTTTTTACTCGTTTTACTAAATTGATTTATACTTTTGGTGATATCGAAGAGATACTTTTCAAAAAAGAGGAAGGCAAGTATTTGTATTAATTATTACAGGATATCCTCGTTAATTTGAACTTGGGTGGTTCGAAATCCTGTTTATTTTTAATTATAGTTTCGTCCCAGCCAGGGATATAGAGTTTACACATTCGGGAATTTGGTTAGTTTGAAATAATGCTACTTCAAAATTTGAAATGAAAATTCTGTTTGAATTGAGATATATGTACATTAACTTATACATTTATATCGAAGTTTGTGCTTCCATGCTATAAGAGAATAATAGACTATCAAAAACTAATCTGGTCAATGTGGCTTTGCTTTTACATTAACACATTTTTGGTGTCTTCTTACCCAACGATTATCTTTTTTCTCTTTATCTCAAAATATGGTTGGATTTTGAGGTTGAAAGATTGGGCTACAAGTAGCAAATTGAGATATTTGTAGGGCTTTAAGCTGCTAGATTTGAGAGACTTGCTACTTTTTGGGCCACTTCAAAAATAATTTGGACTACAGTAGAGAATTCTGTTTTACTTTTTATAAAATCTATTTGGCAACCTGTGAGGTTCTCACCAGATACATGTCATTTACCTGCAGTTTATTTATAATAATAACAATAATTAACGAAACTAACATTTTGTTTACGTGGCCATATTTCATTTGCTTAATAAATTATGTCAGTTATGAAGCATTCGGTATATTGTGTAGAAATTTGTGCTGTAAATCTTGGATAATTCAAACCTCAATAATTTGACATTCCGATTAGTTTGTTCCTTGAATTTCAAACTAATGAGGATTTCCTGTAACATGTTGCACTCTACCAATCAATAATAACTCAAAGCTTTAATTTTTTTCAATGAAAATTTGTGGAAGTTAACATTATAGATTATAATAATGCTAATTGTTGCAAGTTTGAATGGATGTTATTGTAGTAAATTTTATTTTTAAAGTTATCTCTTTACAGCAAAAGCATGTTAATTAAGTAAGATGATGAAGAGTATTGCATTTATCTTTTTTATTCTCAATATACTCTTGCATTAAAACAAATTGATAAGAGTAAGTAATGATGTACTTTTGTTACTCTTCCAATACTGTGATATTGCTTCCATTATAACTAAATATTAAATATCAACTGCATATTGTCAACATATAATCCACCAAAGAGCCCACGATTAGTTTTTTATGTAATATTTTTGGGAATTTGCATCTTAATAATACAAATTTATGTTCTTTAGAAATTAGAATAGGTACAACAATATCATAGCAGCTTTAAACAGTATTTTAAATGAGGATGTAATGATAATTCTTGAAAATTACATGAGTTAAATGATACTAAAGCAATGTGTGTGTCAGCAGGTATTGTGTAAATAAACTTTCCATATTTTGATACGGCCAGTAGGAAACACCACACATCCTCTCCCTCCTGTTCCTGTTCACACACATCCTTATTGAACCACTTGCATATGTTAAGTAAGAATAGGAAGACTACAATTTAATGGTAAACCACAAATTTAAAAAATTATACAATTTTATTTGTAATAATTATTATTTCTGTCTGCTGACAATGATTACATAGTAAGGTGCATACCACCAACCAGAATGATACCAAAAAATTTTATATAAGGTTCTTGCTTATATATTTATAACAATATCAGTTAATGAATGGCAGCAATTGTTTAACTGTATATATGCATGCTTCTAAAAAGAACTGGGATTCTTTCAAAAATACAGCATATTTCTTGGAAAATCTTGGGAGTGCAGAATATTTCACCATCCTGACAAAAGCTATTGGGACAATGGGACAGTAGATCAAAATATATAATTGTCCCCTACAATAAGAAATGTCTGGTCACTTTAGCATAAAATAAAATAACGAGTTAATATATGCTCCACCCCAAACAGTCTGATGATTACCTAGACCAGTGGTTCTCAATCTTTTCCTCCCCATGGACCCCTTTTCCTCTTAGTTCTTTTTGTGGACACGCGTAGACATTGCACAGAAAAAAAAAACCTTATATTTTTTACTAATAAAAAAAGAAAAATTGTATCAAAAATAAAAGAAATAGTAAATGATTATGCTTTATATTGATAGAAAGCCAATTTATTTCATTTTTTTTTATATATATTTGTTTTTTTTTTTGTTACATTGTTTTAAATTAGAAAAATATTTTAATACTGAAGCTCTGAAATTCAGAAAAAGTAACTACTGTATTTATGAACTAGCACTTTTAAAACCTCTTACCTTGTCAAGATGGAGTTCTGCATAGAACTGAAGGTTAGGGTTAAAATAAAACTGATTACCTTTATACTTAGGGAGGGAGGCTATAAACTTTATAGCCTCCCTCCCTAATCTTCAAGATCTGGAACAAACAAACTGATGCAAAATGTTCAGAAATGTCACTGTCAAATGACATGATGCTGATGGCATAAGATTCTCCTAACAAATCTCGGCTTTATAATCTCTCTCTGACCTTTGTCGCTAAGATATATATGTCATATACGGGTATTCAATATTTATATTTTAACCCTTATGCAAGAAATGAGTAATAAAGAAATTGACAATATATATATATATATATATTGTAGAAATTTAATTCTCAGTAAAACAATTGTTCTGAAGTAGAATTACCCTATAGATTACTAAAATATTACCGTGAACCCCCAATTCGGTATTTTTTTCTGTGGACCCCCAGTAATGTTACGTGGACCCCAGTTGAGAACCACTGGCCTAGACACTTACGTTACCGTTAGCAGCCGAACTAAGAAACAACCAACATATCTTTTTGTTATTTAGTATGTAGTATCAAAAGTTTTAATTTTACTTTTACGCAACTGATAAACTGTACGCACGCACAATTTTCTGATTTCATGTCTGCATTAGAACTTTCTATTTTTGTTTCATCTTGATAGCTTTTTCCTCGGGCAGGTGTGGAAAAGTACTTTTAATTTTTATACTATTACTTTTCTTTGCAATAAATTTGATATTTAAAATAATCAGAATCCCTGTTAACCTAACTATTTGCTATCTTCGGAAACATGACCCTGCAGTGTATTTTTTAAACTTAAATATAGTTAAAAGGTACAGTGGGTGATCGGTTAACGAACACAATCCGTTCCAAGACTTTGTTCGCTATCCGAATTGTTCGTTAACCGATTATCGATTTACCATAAGTTTTAATGGGAATTTAATTAATTCGTTCTGGAGACCCCCAAAAATAAAAATATATATATATATACTTTCTTACTACGTTTATTTATATGCAATAATAAAAATACATACATACAAAGTCTTGCATTTTTATTAGTCATGTTTTTTCCGTTTGAAAGGGTTAAAGAATCTGTCTAATGTCGATTGCTTTTCTCTCTTCTTCAGGATTTTTCGTAAGTAATTAATAGCATTGCAATTGTAGAAATCCCCAAGCCTCAACCTGGTTTGGATGCCATTCTAAGACCGTTGTTCTGACATCCTCCCACTTCTTCAAAGGATCTTTAATAACAGATATCGGCATTAATCCTCTTTTTCAGAAGAAAACATATCTCGCCGAGTTTCTTGGTGTTCTTCATTCAAGAGTTCTTGGCGTTCTTCTGTCGTCAGATCCGTTTCAGGTTCCATTATGAACCCTTCGATGTTCTTTATTTCTCAGATGTGATTCTTGTTACTGTTTTAGCTGCTTGAGTCTTGATTATACAGTATTTTTCTTAAATAAGATTGAACTGCTGCCTACTGTAGACCTGTTCACGCCATACTGCCCAGCAACATTATGCATCTTCTGCCCACTCTCTACCTTTGCTATTATACTCTCGCCTTTCGAAAATAAAAACCAACACAAAACATAATGAGTGACCACCTAACAGTCTCTTGAATACTATAAAAAAAATTGTTTCTGTCAGAAAAATAAAAGGCTGGAATTACAAGGGAGAGTTTCAAAGTTTGGAGGAATACTATCCGATCAGTATATACTGGCTTGAGCGTCGATGTCGACGTCTCCCACACTCCGAAAAGTTTCGAATTGTTGCCCGAAGACAAGGGAAGACCAATCAGTATTCATTATTTTACGTCGCTTCCTCTTGTGTTTGTTCTGTGGGGTGTTCGTTAACCGATCACCCACTGTGTTTTGGAGTACTTCCTCTTTGGCCATAAATCAAAATAGCAAATTGTACAATATAGACAAATTTAATTGTTTGTAATTGCTTGTGATGGGAAGCACATGCAAACTTTTAAGAAGTTGCAATGTAGAAGTTCATTTAGAAGCGCATTCTAGTCAAATCTGTAAAAACTTTAAGATAATGTTCTAATTTCCATTAAATTTATGCTTATTCTGTTAAAATATTGTAATTTTATATAAGATTATTTAAACTGCAAATTCAGAAAAAGGACACAGCATTAAAGGCAGACTGTAATGTTGACAATTGTACATTATGTAATAGAAGTTGATGTGTAGTTGATGGGTCACAATAATTGGGAAAACATATCTGCAAATGTGATATACCTTTATACCACATATGCATTTAAGCTACACATTATATAAATAATTTTTATTATCTGTTAGATGTGACTGATTTACATTTAATAAAGTTATCTGTTATTAAACTAAAGGTATTCAGGTGGAGGTAATGTTTTCTTTAGGAAAGTGTACACAAATAAATAAGATACAGGGATTTTGTCACAATTCCAAAAATCAAATTTGATTGCCTACAAAATATATTTAGCATAGAGGAAATATTTAATATCTTCTTCCATTTGTTTATAATCTTTGTCCTACGATACAGTGTGAAAGATCATGAAATTATCAGAATAAATGTTGTTGCCGAACATATTTTACCTTATTTGTGACACATTATTTTATATTATAAGTATGAATGTGTGTTATAGGAGTGTTCGTTCGGATCAAAATTTAATTCTTTGATTTATTGATTGTGAATTTCAAGTCAGCACTTTGTTTCTTAGTCTTCTAATTATTGATTTTAAATCTAGAAAGACTTAAACTATGATTTATACCCACTTCTACCGAGTCTGAGTGATGTTAACCATTATATATCTTTGGGCAAGTAGTTAATATGAGATGAAAAAGGTAATTCTTACCTCAATTTAGGCTTGATCTTATTTCTATATTCTGTTTACACTGTTCTAGAATAATTAGTAAACTGTGTAAGAAGTTTGTAAAATTCATTTTTATTTTTATGATTTCTCATATTTTTTAAATGCATGTTATGTTATTTAATGAATACATGCTAAGTAAGTACATTTTGTAAGAAAGACTTTACTCACGCATACTTTTTCTATCTTTAACACCTTCGAGTTTAGTATCTTAAATTAGATTTTGCCGTAGAATAATGTCGTAGATTTTTATACTTCAAAGGTATTACTGGTAACTGGAATAAAAACACTCAAAAAACTTTTTTGAAGGTAACTCAGGTTATGCACAATTCTCCAGGATCCTTTAATTTTTAGACTTTTTAGCAGTGCCCCATTTATTTTAGACATTGCATTGCCCATAGACTCTGAAATAAAAAGGGATCATGCTAAGCGCCAAGCTCGCATCCGTTGCACGTGTGCTTGGTGCACGTGTTATCCGTCAGCAATTATGCCACACCATCTCTTACATCTGTGACAAATCTTTAGGGTTCACATTGCCATAATTTCAAAACACCTTGACTATGCACAGACAGGATTCCTGTCTTTTTTACTCTGGTAAAATTTTGGTATTTCATTGATCAATAATGTCCTCAAGATTTAATCTTAAAAATGATTAGAGATTAATATTTATATGTAATTTTGATATATTTAGTGAATATTTAACATTAAAAGACAACCTTCTGCTCATTCTGATGATGACAAACAAACAAACAAACAAACAACCAAGCTCTTAGCTCTCGTGGGTTAAGTTATACATCTTTGTAAGTAGTAGTAAACATTTTCTCTAAGTTAAATGTATTTTCTCAATTGACGGCAGTCTCCAAACTTTTTTACTGTCAGAATGTAAAGATTCAGCAGTTTCATGCAGTATAATTGGTAAACTTATGCATAAACTTGTATTTGGCAATACCTAGACTCCAAACGAAAAGACAAATGTGTTGCACCTGCAATGATATCAAAATGAGAACTTAAAAGACAAATTGCATATAAAATGTATGATTATAATTCTATTTTTCTGGTAAACAAAATGTAAAATATTATCTAATTCAATTTACTGTAAATTAATTTTAATTTTCTAATTATTTTCTATGATTGCAAGTATATCTAATGTATTAGTTTAATTTACAAATTTGTAACATTTTGATGATTTGCAATAAAAATTCAAATTTTTAAATTCTACTTTTATTTATTTATTTCTTTTATAGCATTTTCTTCCTTCCTGTAGTTGCAAAATTTCTATTTATTTAAATTAGAATTGTCATTGAAGTGGATCAGTTCTTGACATAGATCTGGTAAGATATCATCTGCTTAAATATTTCTTTTATTAAAGTAAAACATAAAATTATTATACAATTTATTAATCATATTTACTAATTTGTGGCATGTTAGTTTGACAATAATTCTGCAATTCCCAAAACAAATATAGATTATATGGGGTGGTCTGTTTATAATGTCGCTGACAAATACCTCAAAATATGCATCCGATTAAAAAATTGATTAGAATAAGTTATTTATTTTTGAGCCATCTTTTCAATTTCATAAAAATTAAGCCACTCCTGCCCCTTATCAGGGGCAG